CTTGTTTTGAAACTCTCACATCGCTGAATTTCTGAAGCATCTGCATCTCATCAGCTCCTGTGCTCTTTGCCTCTTCGGGGCATCACACCGTACATGTCGTGTTTTGGCGAGATAAATGTAATGTTTGAACTAAAGCGTGCGTGTGTTGGTGTGCAGAGGGAGTTTTATCAGACAGCGAGGAGGAACAGAGGCCCTGAGGCCGTGGCCAGCAGGACACAACCTCTGTTGTGGAGCAGCAAACGCAAAGGGTCCACTGAGCAGGGAGGATACAGCAGTGAGGCCTCCAGTGAACAAGGTGGGAAACATGCTCATGTACTTTTGAAAACATCGTTAGCTATAAATGCTTGTCACTTGAAACTCACCTTTTTCATATCTTGAAATGTATTATTATTACTGAGTAATTGTTTTTTTTTTTCTCATGCTGGAAGTTTCAGGTGAATTTGGTTTTATCTAAGCTTCTCAAATGACTGATTTCCCCTTATATTTCATGCTAAAGAAGTAGGTCAACATTATGGTTCACATGGTTTCTCAATTTCTCAAAAGAGCTACAGTAGATATATCAATCTCTGTGTGCTGTACAAATATGCATGAAAATATGAAGCTGCCACAGCAGACAGTTAGCTTAGCTTAGCACAAAGACTGGAACTAAAGCCACCTACTAGCACCTCCAAAGATCGCTAATTACGCGTTAATCTAATTTTGTTTAAAACATACAAAACCAAAGTGTAAAAAACAACAGGGGTTATGTGCTGGAACATTTCTTGGCCCAGAGGTGCTGGTAGGTGGATTTCATTAGCCTGTTTCGCCTGTTTTCATGCTAGGTTAAGCTAACTGGCTGCTGGCTACAGCTTCATGTTTTCATATACTGTAGTATTTACCTCATTTAACAGATAGCTGTCAAGAGATCAGCAAGAGAGCAACATTTTTTTCACAAAATGTGGAACTGTTCCTTTAACTGTCTTTTTAATTTAATTTAATTTAATTTAATTTAATTTAACTTTTACTACATTGCACAATAATATACAAGTAAGATGCCACATTGTGAAGGATGCATCAATGAATGCAGTGATATACTACACAAGTATTTAAAATAACAACATGGGCTTGTAAAGATGGACTCACCCGTGGGTCGGGCACAGTTTAAGAGGTTAACTCTGTGGTAGACTGTATGTTGCATGCATAATGAGTATCTCTGCAGAGCACAGTATGTCTCCAGTACACACTCCCTTTCCATCTCACATTACTCCATCTGTATCACCGTGTCATGTCTGCAGCCAACAGCATCCAGAGGATAAAGAAGAGATTCCTCTCTCACTGAGCTTCAGCCTCCTCCGTACCAGGACAAGGGCCCGGCGGCCTGCGTGTCCCTCTCGTTCCCCGCTCAGAGCGAGGGGTTCGGAGGGGGTCGTCCCCGCAACGCTGCGACAAGCCCCCGCTGCTCCAGTGAGGCCAGCGTGGACCAGGACACTGAGAGCTACCTCAACAAAGGCTGTGAGGAGGAAATCCTAGTGACAGCACCGCTGTTCTGGGACCAGAGGTGGAGATCAGAGTTACTGAATGTCCCCTCTCTGTGCCGTAAAAGCAGAACATGAACAGAACAACGTTTTAGATCTGTACAGCCTCTGTAGTTCACCATGCACATAGTAATAAAAAATTAAAAGGTACAAATAACTGAATTATAATTATGGACACACAACAATAAATAAATACACTTTTGTTTCTTGCAGCAGGAAATAACAAAATTCACTTTAAAACTAATCTGCCTTTAAAAAAATCTGCGTATTTTATTGTGAAAATCAGAAAAAACTGAGAAGCTGAGACAGATACGGTGAAGTATTTAAAAAGAGCAGTTAGTACAAATAAAATAATCTAGTTAAGTTTAACCAGAATGCACATGCTGACACCATCACTTATCTGACATTAACGCTAATCTCAATGAAGTGAGAGTAAATAAAAACTTGATGAATACTTTATGAGGAGTTATACGTAGCAACTGTTTCAGGCCTCTCTCTCTTCCTTCACTATTCCTCTGATTCTCTCTTCATGTCAGGATGGCTCTGGGCCTCAGCTCCCCACGGCCTACGAGCCAGAGCCCCTCGCCAAATACGGCACGCTGGACGTCGCCATTCGAGTACGACTCCAGCGAGCAGTGGTTTGGCCGTCACGGTCCCACCCGGCGACAGACATCCCTGCCCTCAAACAGACAGGAAAACATCTCGTGGCAGGTCCACCTGGTCCTGCTGGCCAACCAAAGAAGCAGCGGGCCAAGACTGGGGTACAGAAGGGCCCGTGTCCTGTCTTCACGGAAACATTCAAGTTTTTCCAGAGTGGAACAGGAGGCTCTGGGGGATTACGCTGTGTTCGCTATCCGCCTGTACAGCATCAGGCGGATGAAAAAAGAGAGGTCCTGGGAGAGAAGTGTTCTACCTGACTAAGCTGAACCTGCAGGGCAAGATCGCTCTACCGTGTCACCCTGGAGCCCGGCTCTGAACTTACAGTGAGAACACTTTGTGCATTTATATTTTGCCCAATGCACAGTTTTGTCGTGTAAGAAATGTGATGCTGGATTGACAGTGAACAAATGTCAACTGTAGACGTGTTTCTACTTCTACCAACAAAATTAGTCAAAGGGCAAACTAATTACTATTTTCATTACTGATTGTTTTCTAAATTAAATTAATTTCTAAAACTTAAAAAAATGTTTTAAAAAATACCCATTGTTACTGTGAAGCTTTCATACGTATTGTTTGGTCATGTTACTAA